TAGTAGCTGGAACTACAGGCGCGTGCTACCACACCCGGCTAATTTTTGATTTATTGTAGAGATGAGGTCTCACTAAATTGCCCAGGTGGGTCTGGAACCCGCGGGCTCAGGCAATTCACTTACCTCGGGCTCCCAAAGTGCAGGATTACAGGCTGAGCTACTGTGCCTGGCCCACTGTATCTCTTTTGCAGGTAACTTTATCATAGAACTACACTCAATCTATTTAATTCAAAATACACCCATTGAAGAAATAATGTTAGTAGACATTAATTTGTTCTAAATTTCTTAACAATAGACATATTTTATCAATTTGATATGGAAATAAGTGAGTGTACATAAATCATAATACATGTTAATGTACTGTAGATTTTACTCTACATAGCAGCATTTTTTGAATTCCATAACATATATTTTGTAGGGTGAAATAATATTAAAAATCTAATTAAAAAGAAAGTGTTGTAATTCCGGCTACTTGGAAGGCTGAGGTGGAAGGATGGCCGGAGCCCAGCAGGTCGAGACTGCAGTGGCCAGGGGCGGCCACTGCACTCCAGTCTGGGCGACAGAGTGAGACTCCAACACACACACAAAAACCAAAAAACCAAAAAAAAAAAAAAACAAAAACAAAAACCCAGAAAGTGTAATACCATCTCCTGCTTTATTTTATTTCATTTTTTTTTTTTTACTTTTTGTGTTGGAGTCTCACTCCATCACCCAGGCTAGAGTGCCATGGCATACTCACGGCCACCCCAGTGTTGACATGCTGGGCTCTGGTGATCCTTCCGCCTCAGCCACCTTCCAAGTAGCCGGAACTGCACACACATGCTACCACACCCAGCTAATTTTTTAAAATTTATTTATTGTGGAGACGAGATCCCGGGCTGGTCTCGGACCCTTGGACTCAGGCAATTCACTTACTTTGACCTCCCAAAGTACTGGAATTACAGGCTGAGCTACCGAGCCCAGCCTGCTTTATTTTATTAATGCCATATTCTGTTAGTAATATTTATTTTCATTTTCTGATTATTTTCTTTAATGATTTGTAAACATTATTTGATGTGTTTTTGGTATTTGTAGTTCTTCCAAATAAAATTATTTAAGAAAGCACAGTAAACCATCAAATTTTGAAAAAGAAGTTAATGTGAAGTACATTCATAGGCAGGGATAGGACAAATTAAAATTAATCAAAAATAAAAATCACTAAGTTGAAAAAAAGTATCAAGCAAAATGAAAGAAAATAATTTAAGGATAGTGGATACAAAAGTGTGTATTTAGACCATGATATTATACATAATTTCTAAGTATATATTCATATGTAAAATGAATATAAAATTATAATCCATATAGCTTCAATTTTCTAATGGACATAAACATTGATCTTATGTAGCATAGACTTTAAGACAGATTTTTTTTCTCAGTCATCATTTATTTGTCTTATCTTAAGTTTAGTACACTGTTCAATTTATAAATCCTCCATGGCTTACCTAAGAATGGAAAGGGAAACGAACAGTTTGAAACTTTATTTCTAAAAGTATCTATATTTAACTCCAGAGGAAGTGACCAGCATGACAGGACCACATCTTCTGTACAGATTTTTTGTTAAGAAAAATTAACCTTTTCACTTTTGTATTTTGAACATCTATTTTCTTCTCCATGTGTTTCATGAAATAAAAATAATAAATATAAATTCGTGTACTACAACTGCTATTTGTGGCAATAATATGGCTAAATTAATTTCCATAAGTTTATTTTGGACCTGCTGAATTTGAGAAAATCATGCATTTGTTCATTGGCATCCATGACAATACTTGAGAATATTCAGTATCTTTTATGTAGTTTTGGAAAATTTTTTTTTTTTTTTTTTTTTTTTTGATTTGGAGTCTTACTCTGTCGTCCAGACTGGAGTGCAGTGGCACGCTCCCAGCTACTGCAGCCTCGACCTGCTGGGCTCCGGTGATCTTTCCGTCTCAGCCTTCCAAGTAGCTGGAAGTACAGGCGCGCGCTACCACGCCCGGCTAATTTTTTTTTTTTAATTGTAGAGATGAGGTCTCGCCAAGT